GAATGTGTTATAATTTATGTTGGTAATGTTATGTTAGTGCATTTACTGTACCTTAGTAAGGAGTAGTTATAGATGAGGTGTGATGAAAAAATACGATGAATTTTTATTTTTTAAAAAATATTGCAGTAAAAGACAACATTGCCATTAATCCCCCTTGCTTCGAACACACTTATCAAAAGACTTCCAGAACTGCTTCAGAAAGTGGCAAGAATGATGAAATAAGACTGTTTGAAGTGAGGGGGAGTATTTTGAAGGGAATTAATGGCACTGGACTTTTACTGTAATTTTTTTTTAAATTTAAACATTCACTGTATTTTTTGATCACACCTCGTATATAACCAAAAATAAAGTGAAAAAAAAAGTACTGAAAACTCACACACTGAAAATGCAAGAGATTACTTGGGTGCACAACAGATGATGTTTATGCTGCTACTGCATTTTTTCACTTTGCTTGCAGTTCAAGCATAGACGCATCTTTCAAACTTCATAGCAATTTTCTCTCGACTCTAACCTTCGAACTCTGGATCGTTTGAAGTTAGAGTCGTTTGAATTACAAGGCATTACTGTAGACAGAAACATGTTTGTGTATACAGTTTGTAAAAGTAAACCCTAGATATCAAGGTAAGAATACGGGATGAAGACCTAATTAAACAGAATAAGAACTAAAGATATTGTAATTACCAAATTAATGAAATACCTTCCTAGATATCCGTAAACTCATAAAGAAAATCCTTAAATATTAATATGTTTCATTTCATTTAGAGCCTTTCTATTCTGCCCAATAGAAAAATCTCTCTGGATATATGGAGACTAAAATTTATAATAAAACATATATGGAGATTAAAACATATAATGTAATAGAACACATACTATAAAAAGCTTATGTAGAAACATGTAAAGAGAAAGATGCATAGATAACTCCCCTCCTCAAAATTTGTTGAATGCACATCTGCATACAATATAGCAAGATGATAGAGCTGGACCTGCAAGCATTGAGTGAGTTTGACCCAGAAGTCAATTCAGTCATTCTTCCAACTGGCCATCTTAGGAGAAGACCAAGGGATCCAGCTGATGGTGGAACTGCAAATCATTTGACTTTCCATTGGGTATTTTTAAAGACTTAAACCTCAAAATGACCTTTGGCCTTTGGAAACTCCCCTTGTTTGAACATGGCAGATTCATAATAACAGCTTGTGTGGTTTTAGCACTCTTTCTGTGGTAAATATGTATTAGGTAGAACTTTATAAGATCAATTAAATCAAAACTTCACCTGCAGTACATTGCTGAAGCTAGGCTTCTGGAACGGAGCAAAGTGTAATTTTCCAATTACACAAACTGTAATTGGAAAAATATGCCAGTACAATAATGAAAAGTGCTCAAAACCTGGTTTATGGATGGAGGGGAAGGATAACCTTTGTTGTTTGTAGATGAGCAAAACATACTTCTTGAAAATTAGTGAAGCATCTGTCTTTTTGACAGGTGGGATGTGTATGTTAAGGGTCACGTATGCTGCAAGGATTCCAGCATCGGTATTGCGCGCGTGCGTGCGCTCTCTCTCTCTCTCTCTCTCTCTCTCTCTCTCTCTCTCTCACACACACACACACACACAGAGCGAGAGCGAGCGAGCGAGTGCAAAATGTTCTTCCCGCCCCTGGTGATTCCAGCCAGCTATTTATAATCAAAGCTGACCCAGTTTGCAATTTGTTCCTGCACTAGACGACAGTGTGACATAACGATGCAATAGCAGATGGAAAGCTCAAAACTGCCTTTTATATAACTAGAATTATCTGACAGTGAGTTGAGAATATGCTAAGCAACTATATTGTACTTGGCCTGCGACAAACTCCATAGCACTTTGTCACTAGGAATCCTGCAGGACAGATTGAGAATAAACTGGTTTTAGCACTGCAGTTTTATACCCCTGCTCCCTGCATCCCCAATTCATTGGTGTATCTGTCTAGGAAACTTGTGAAATGTATTAGGGCAATGGTTTTGCTAATTAAGCAGGACACGATTAAGCTGCTCAGATGAAATTCCTGTTTTGGCATTCAATTGTTTCTTGTACTGGGGGAGGGGGAGGGGGTTCCCCCTCCTTCATGAGGCTTCTCTATTCTTCCAAATCTTTATAATGATACATTTAAATTAATGTTTCATATAAATAGCCAGCTAAGATTTATTTAATTGAAACAGTTTAAAGGAACAGGTTCAAATACAACTCAACCTCTGGATGAAAAATACATTATTAAGCTGCACTATGCGTAACTTCCAAACTGCTTAACCCTTTATTGCACTGAACAAGTTTTCTTGTAAGTTTTCCAAGATTAAAATAACTTATTTACATGGAATTATTATATGAGATTGTTCCTATTTTACATTAAGATTATTATTATTAGGGTACCAACAAATGAAAGGGGAAAATCATGTTATGAAGGATCTAACTATGAATGAATGTCCAACTGAGTTTATATGGATGAAAGCCTGTGTATTATAGTAGCTAGAGTGTTAGTATAGGACCACAGAGATGTGGGTTGAAATCTCTTCTCAGCCATGAAGTTCATTAGGTGGCCTAGGCTCAGTTGCTATCTCTTAACCTAACCTACCTCACAGGGTTGTTGTGAAGATACAATGTAGATGAAGGGGGAAAGAATATTGTATGTTACCTCGAAGTACTTGGTGAAAGGATAGAACACAATTGCAATAAATAAAGATTTAAAATTGTATATACACATTCCACGGCTTCGCATAGGGACAATAAAGAAAATAAACTCATGTATTCTGTTCTGTTCTAATTTCAGTAAATAATCTTGCTTAAGTTAATAGCTTTTTGTACTTACGTGGTATTTCAGAATTAAAGATGAGTCTTCCTCAAGTGATGAAGACCCTAGAGCTTCAAACCAAGCCTTTGGATCATTGCCAACAAATACCAATCACCTTCCTCTGTTGTCTGGAATAGGTTACAAAAAGAGCCTTCGACTCAGTTCAGAACAGCTTGTAAGTGATTTCCATATCAGCTTTTCACATCATTATCACCAGCAGCTATAATTCACAGGTGATGATAATGTGGCTTTCAGTGTCAAGTCACAAACCTTCCCTGGCCTTACCATGCCATAATAGTGTAAGGAACCACAGACTGGCTCAACAGCCAAGTTATGTCTATACTGACTGGCCAAGAAGTGGGGAAATCAGGAGAGGCAAAGCCTCAAAATGATTCCATGAAACAAACTCCCTCACCCCCACAAACCCCTGTAATGAAATGCTCAGGATGCTTTGATTAAGACCTTCAAGAGCAGAAGAATGCAGTTTTCTTGTTAAAGCAACATTTTTCCCCGACTGGAAAAAATCTAGGGTTGCAAGCAGTGGTCTTACTAATGGAGTACTTTATCTGGAGATGCCAGGCCTTGGGACAGAACTTTGACTCTTGCAGTATGTGCAAATCAATATTAGTGCTACAAGGACAGGCACTCAGGCCATGGGCCATGTTGAGTAAGTTTCTCTTTGTGTTTTTAATGAAGCCTTGCTTGTTAATGAAGAAACAGTATGATAAAAAGGCCACCTTTGATTCTTTGCAAGAAGAAGAAAGGCAGGGTATAAATGTGATATAAATATAATCTAATAAATGAGAGCAATGACCAAGGAGTATAATGCCTATATTTCTTTTAGGAATTCAATTCATATTTTCCTAAGGGTTTAACATTAAAAATAAAACATCCTTGCTCTTCAAACTCATTTATTAACTTTTTCCCCAGTTTGTACATTCCAGACCATTGCAAGCTATAGACTATACACCAGAATTTATATTATTTTAATTGGTGGGTTATACTTCAAAACCCAGCAGAGTTTCCCTTCAGGTCTAACACTGCGTTGATCAGTAGGGAGATAAGGGCTAAGTACATGTGTGACTAAACATGCTGGCTAGGGGATACTGGGAGGTATAGGATTTTTTTTTCCAAACATGCATAGGATTGTGCCCTAAAGCAATTAATCATCTCCTCTTTCAGAAAGCACTTTAACAATATTCTGAGCCCTCTGGTTTGTCAAGATGCATAGCCTGAACTCTAGGTTCAGTTTTGCTTTTTGCTTTCTTAACAGAAAGGTTTAAACCTTAAGAATGGACCCAATGATGTGATTTTCAGTGTTACAACACAGTATCAAGGAACATGTCGTTGTGAAGGCACCATCTATTTATGGAACTGGGATGACAAGGTCATTATTTCTGACATTGATGGCACAATCACAAGGTGAGTTCTTAGCAAGATAACAATATGCCATGCTTCCCTTTTTTGCAATCTCGGAGGCAAGCAAAGTAGCAACATGTGCAGAATGGTGGAAGCCATTTATTTATATTAAATGTGTAAACGCCTCCCATTAGCATCGTGCCCTCTTGATTTCCATTCATATTTGAGAGAAATCTTAAATCCCTGTATCTTGCAGACTTGGGTGGCCCAATCCTATGGTGCTGTTTAATTTCACACGGTGTACAAGCTCAGCTGCTCTTCTTCCAGCCCCTGTCCCATGCTAGATGGAGTGGTTCCAGGCAAAGCTTTTATTTATAGTGCTGTGGTCTGGCCCCATTAAGGCACAGGAACAGAGGTTGTTATCTCCTAGTTATGACCCTCCTGTGTCTTCCCACTGCTCTTTTCATTCCTTTTTATTTTTTTGTGGCAGAAGATCCATGAAGGGATGAAAGAGGGACTGGCTGTGCAGTGCTTTCTAGTTGTTAGTGGTAGGATCCCTCCATCTGGAAGAGGTGCTGGTGGTTGGACTCAGTTCCTGTTCACTTCCGTCCCATGAAAGAACAGTAGTCGGCACTCAAAAGTCGTTCTGGAATTAAACCAATCTGGCAGGGACGGATAGGAGAGGAAACCCTCGATTCCTCCTCTGTCTGTGTGGCATGCATTGAAAGGCAAGAAATGTGGAGGCAGACAAATATACAGGCTGGATGTTACTGTAGGCATAGCACTGGGAGTTATTGGTTGCTTGTTGCTTGACATGCTGCGATTCATCCTGCTTGTTTTTATGGTTTGGTATTCATTTTGAAGTGTGTGTGTGTTGATGTGCACATTATTTTAAGTCACCTTGAGTACAGGTTTCCTGTAGAAAAACTCTGGATGAGGATGATTACTATTAGTAGTAATAGTAATGTTGTAATTAGCTGATGCGTGGGATCAAGTTTATAGTTCCAACACCACTCTGTGAAAACAAGAGAGTTGCTTGAAAGGAGAATGGAATGACTGTCCTTAGAGTTCCTCTGCTGTTAGCTGCTGTGGCATTACTTACACTGAGAGGCAGCTGGGAAGTGGATAATAACCATGATAAATAACAAAATACAACAACACAACCTTGTTTTATATAGCAGTGCACTATCATTTAAATTGTTTTGTTTTGTTGTGTTTTCTCTTTCTCCAGGTCTGATACTTTAGGCCATATTTTACCAACTCTTGGCAAAGACTGGACCCATCAGGGCATTGCAAAATTGTACCATAAAGTGAGCCAGTGAGTATTTGCTAATTTGCCACTAAGCTTTCCTGTGTATGTTTGCATCCATTGTGCATGGCAGCCCAGAATTCCTCATCACAGGAAAGCAAATCCTTCTAATTAGGTTAAATGTACTCCTGGGGCAGGAACTTGCCTCAAATGTTTCTTTTTTAGTTGTAGTTACTTATAGAGAGTATAACCTATACTTTTGGGGTTCAGCAGGTAATATCCAACTTGAAGTGTGGCTGTTTGGTAAAGAGGAGGTCACAATCCTCAGTCAGAAACCTTGGCACCGAAGAAAAAACAAAACCCCAGTGCAGCCGCTTAGCTGTGTTAAAAATAGACCAGTGAGCTAATAATAAGAGGGAGGGGTGTGAGGAGGGGCAAGAGGGATTGGATGGCTGAGAGGCTCCGTGTGGGCAGGGATATACATGAGAGAGAGTGGGAGGTGGCGCTGTCCCTCCTTCCCTCCCTCCCAGCTCCGGCATTGCCCACTATTGGCACGTCACCGCCATTCCCCCAGGCCAGAGGGAATGCTGCCCTTTGGGTGGGAGGTGGGGCAGGTTCTTTACTTACGCCTTATGCACATAGTCAAGTCCCTGTGACCGAATGAGAAATACCGTCTTCCATAATGCGGTGTAATCAGTGCCTGATAGAAATTAAAAGGGATTTCTTGGACCCCAACCGGGCAAGCCGTTCCCTGTATCCAAGCACTCCTTCCTGGGGCCAAGGTCTGCTTCTGTTCATGGATAGGACTGTGACACAGCAGAGAACCTATCACAAAAAGTGGATTTTCACCACTTTCCCCTTGCTGCCATACACCCTTCTGCTGTCCCCCAGCCCTTTGGGTTAGATTTATGGTGGAATAAAGAGCTACGCTGGGGAAGGGGAAAGGATTACAATTGCTCCCCCTGGTGAGGAGAGTGTATGAGCAAACTCTAGTGGAGGGAATGCTCTTGCTGATGAAGCATCTGTTAGATTCCAAGCCAAAGTTAGTTCACCCCATGAATGCTCAATGTGGCTGATAAAAATGAGGAACCAAATGCTGTTACAGCGTAACTCTGAAAATGTTTTCAGTGTGTTATGGTAATGAAGATGACGCAGTCTCTTTCTCTCTCTCCAAAACAGAAATGGGTATAAGTTCCTGTACTGCTCAGCACGCGCGATAGGCATGGCCAATATGACCCGAGGATATTTGCACTGGGTCAACGAGCGGGGAACGGTGCTACCTCAAGGCCCTGTGCTGCTGAGTCCCAGCAGTTTGTTTTCAGCCTTCCACAGGTTGGGCAAAACCACATCTGGCTTTAATTGTAGGCATTTCACGGGTTGGGGGTGGAGAACCTGTGCCAGTTATTAGTTGTTGAGTTTGTTTGTTAGCTTGGAATAGTTTTAGGGTCCCAACTAATTTCACGCCTTTACTATAAGATGAGCCTTAATTGGACCAGCAATATTGAGTGATTATTGCTGAGGATATGATAGGGTTTGTTTATGGTATTTCAACGTACGGTAATAGAATTCATTTTTTGCCTTAGAAGCAGTGAGAAGCACTATTGCCCCAGAAGTCAGTGGCCCAAGTCCAGCATGAGAAAATTGTGAAGGCTCATGGAATAAAATGAGACTTAACTAATATTTGCAGTGGAATAGCCATGGCTAGCTCTAGCTGGATTTGAAGCCTATGGTCAGAATTTTACCTGCTTTTTTCCTCCATGGACAAAACCCCTGCATTTTAATGGGGATTGTTAAATGTATACTGAGAAATCCCAAGATCCAATGCTTTCTTTCCAGTTTTGTTGAAAGGTAGCTTGATATTTGTTTTTGAAATTTTATACATATCAAATATAATACAGCCTAACCTCCACACTGCCTGTTTGTTTTGTTTCGGTTTTGTTTTGGTACATGATGATGAACATAGTGAAAGCAAATAGCTAATAAATATTCATAAGGTCAATTGTACTTCAGTAAATTGAGTATGATTTTTAAAAGTTAAAGTATGCTCAAGCAAACATGGATTCTGTACAACAATATTCCATGGATTTAGAACCTGGCCATGAGACAGAGTGAAATAGCTCTTCAAGAAGCAGATTTGGGGCATTAAATTGTCAAGTATTTCATTTGCACTTTTTTTTAACATTGGAAGAAGGTGCCATTTTTATCTTCCTCTTTAAGTGCTCAAAATGTTTCAAGCCATTTGAGGCAAAGGCACAACAAATCAGTTTCTCTGTTTTAAGAGCAGGCATTTCATGCACTTCAAGGTGTTGGCTGAAATTGGACCTCTCGTAGGATCCTCTGAGATGAGGATTTGCAGCTGCACATATCTACGGACAGTTGTGGAATAGTTCATATCACTACAGTGGATTTTCTGGCTGTCCCACTGACCCTATTCATGCCTGTTTCTGAAAAATACAGGCTTGAATAAAATATACACTTTTGTGTATGTCCAATAGGCTATCAAGACTCAGTCTCAGATCACAGTCTAAACAGGTTAAGCACAGTTACCTTCCCCTTCATGTTGTTTGTTTGTTTGTTTAACCTGTTTAAAGGCTGCTCATTAGTATCACACTCTCTGGGCAGCCATTACAATTTTAGTGGGTGAATTGGGCATATATGTGACTCTGGTATACTTGGATTTGAACAGCTAAACATTAGCTATATTATGCTCATTTTTAACCATACTGTCTCTCTATGGAGGTGTTAAAAAACCTTGGCAGGGAAGCAAGAAATAATTTAGAAGTCTTTATACCCTTTTTGGAGGAATTGGGAGTCTGATCCATTGAAGTGTTTCCTATAACTTAAGAAAAAGGCCTGTTATGCTTGCGGAACTGAATCATTGTCTTTTTGTCTATGGTTTATTTCAGGGAAGTGATAGAGAAGAAACCGGAGAAGTTTAAAGTTCAGTGTCTAACCGACATAAAAAACTTGTTTCACCCCAACACGGAACCTTTTTATGCTGCATTTGGCAATAGGCCTGCCGTAAGTACAAGTCACAATATTATTTACTAGGGGCTCATCCAGGGAGGAACTTGCGTGCTGATGAGTCCATACTGTAGTTTCAGACAGGGACTGCGGGCAGCCATGCATGATGTTACGTATATATGAAGGTTTACGTATATATGAAGGTTTGCACACCATTTCTTCACTTGGATTTTGTCATCTTTATCTGTCCCTTTTCTTACCATTTAGGTTAGTGGAGGCAAACATGGAGATTAGCACAAGTGTCCTTTGAGATTGACACAGAGATAGTGTGGGGGTAGTGGCTGTCCTTTCTACTTCCGTGTGAACAGAACTCAAGGAAATGTTATCAGCATGGCTTATTTTTTCCACCATTCCTCAGAATATGAAATAAACTAGGCATGTTAAATAAGCCAGTCGCTCATACATTCATGCACACAGATGTGAATGTGATTCCCTTGTGAGGATGAACACAATCCTCTAGTAAGTCAGTTGCTAGAGAATCCGTGGGGATAACCGGAAGAGCACCTTTTCCTCTTACCAACCTGCCAGTCGCTGAGGTCACCGCGCGAGACACTCCTGGTGGCTCCACATGACCCTTTGGCCTGGTTGGAGTTCTCCTGGCATACAGCCTCCTTCATACTGTGCCTCTAGAGGTCAGGCAGCCACCAGCATGACACTATTTCCAGTGCTCACTGAAGATAATGTTCTTCCAGCAAGGCTTCCTCGATCAACCAGCCATGGTTCTTCTTTGTATTTTTTTTTAAAAAGAATGTGCTAATCTTGGGCTTTATTCTTTTTATCTTTTATTAGTGACTAGTTTGGGATCTGTTCAGAAGTGGAACAGTATCTGAATGTTGTACATAGTAAATACATAAATAATGCCAGAAAGAGTAGCTGTTTCAGTTAGGATCATCTTGTAATAAGGAAAACTTGAATGAACTGAAAAGGCTGTCAGCGGGGAGGACGCTTAGAAATGCTTGTAAGTTCTTAAACTGACCATCAGTTAGTTGTGGGAACCCTTTCTTTCAAGCATTCCACCAACTAGCACCACATTCATATACGTGATGATTTTGCAAGCAAACTGCTTTGGAGATCAGGCTACTCCAGTGGTATAGCCCACCTGTTTCACAGGAATCTCATTCTGTAAAAGTTAGTCCAACTATCCTAGGCAAATCAAGGTTCAATCGTCGATGCTGAGCCTTGGGCTAGGATGCCAGGGTGGGCAGAGTCTAGATTTGCAGGAACCACTTTGACTTTTACTTGACATCTAACGGGAGCCTGATGCAGAAGACATACCAATCCTGAGCCCAGGATTTTATTTTGAGTACCCGAACTGAATGGAACTCAAGTCAGAAAAGTTCTTCATGTTTGCAACAATTATTCTTAATTTCAGCAATTTAACTCGTAGTAGAGGGAGGCTTCATTTTGCTGCTTCTTTTGTTAATCAACTGTGAATCAGAAATCTTTGCTAAACTACTGCAGATCACTCAGATCTATTAGATTGATTAATACTAGATACAACATTTAGTGCTTTCCCAGGCAGCCCTGGTTAGAAAGGAAAATAGTTACGAAACTTTTACTAAACTGAAGAAAGGTAGCTCTGATCATTTCACTGAAATGTTTCTCCTAGAACTACTGGGTCAGTTTTGTGATGTTTTAATAGAATCATGGTTTCTTGTCAGCCCTAAACCATGGTTGGTGTGTCTGATTTATCCCAGCAAATTTTGTGTACCATCACAATCAGTAAATGAAGAAGTATATTGGTGTGTGCTGGGGAAGAGATAAGAAGAGCACAGGTCCAAGGCACAACCAGCTCTGGTGGTCAAACCAGGGATTTTCATGATATCTGAACCAGGCCTTGCTAAAGAAGCACCAATATGAGAGGTCTTAAATCTTCCCACCTCCATTTGGGGGATATTCTCTGCCATAAGAGAAGTCATAACGTGCCAGGGCAAAGTCATAAAGTCCTTTGTGCAAACAGAATTTTTTTATTTAATAGGGAAAGAAGAAAATTGTATGCTGAGGTAAGAACAAGTGAAATAGTGAAAAAAGAAATTTCTATATTGTATATATATTGTTCTCTATTATCCATTGCCGGGGCACTCGGGACTGCTGTGTATGATAGGTTAACATTAACGAAATGCCACCAGCCCGAAGAATGCATAGTTCATGTAATTATTTTAGAAATAAAGAAAATGAGACCCTTCTGTTCTCCTTCCCAGGATGTCTATTCATACAAACAGGTGGGAGTCTCCCTGAACAGAATATTCACTGTTAATCCTAAAGGAGAGCTAATTCAAGAGCACGCAAAGACCAACATTTCATCGTGAGTATCCTCTTTTTTCTAATGCAGCATGGGCAGTGCCACCACACACAGCCCATAATCTTCCCAGCTTCTCTATGTGCTTAATCACTCAATCAGTCTCATAGGAGGAAATCCCTTCCTCTAAGACGAAGTCCTTGTATTAAAAAGCACAATCACTCTATATCTCTTGTCCACCCATGCTGTCACAAAGGGTCTGCTTTCCATGGAAGGTTTGGAAGACGATTCAGATAGTGGATCCACAGGTTAAAACCCTGGAAAAGTACGGGCAGGAACTGTAGGCAAAGTTGCAGTGCTTCCTCTCAGTGAGCCACTGCAGTTGCTTGTCACTTGCGGTTGTGCGCCTGTTGAGTCTGCCTCAGGGCATAGGCTTGGGAAATGGTCTCCTCTCAGTGCATTTGCAATAGCTTGTGCGTGTCCCTGTCTTCTTCTGACCAGCTGGCTTTGTCTCCTGACAATGGTCCACTCTTGCCAGCCATGGGCCTGATTTATTTCTTGGCCGATAAATTATCACTAGGAGACAGCTAACAATTTCGGTCATCTAATCCTTCTGTCACCTCAGAAAAGCCCAGGTTGGCTTGAAGGGGGCTTGCTCAGAATGTCTTACTGTTCGTGACCATAACAAGGGTTTGTGATAGTGATTTTAGTGTAAGAGGGACTCTGTATCCTTTTAAGGTCATCAAAAATAGTGGGGTAAGCAAGAGCACTTTACCATTCTAATGCATTTCTGACCTCCTGTAGGTCCTCCTATTTCAGGAAAGCTCTGACTAGGTCCAATGCAGGAGTGTGTTTTTCAATCTCTAGTCTTCAAGAACAAGCCCTGCTGAATTGAGCTATGCAGAATTCCCTTGTAGAAAGACTTGGAGCACATTAGAACAGTAAACCTGTGGCTCTACCCCATTGCTTTCTGCTGACCTACTTTGTGGTTTCCCATTTTGTTGGATTTTGTGCCTAGCTAGGGTCCGTGGAGGCGGATTTCATTAAAGTCTTCCTTTGCTGCGCTTTTTCAGCTGTGCTGCTGGATTCAAGTTTTGATCCAACCCTGACGTTACCTCAGTGACGCTTTCACAAATTACAACACACATCAAGTTTAGAAATAGGTTAAAAACTTGTGTGGTTCTGTTGTATTTCCACCAGTAATTATCCTGTCTTAAAATGCAGAGGAAAATAGCTACATTAACCCAATCCATGAACTCTTTATTAGCCATGTATTCAGTACACCAGGGTGAATATATAAGGTTATTTCTCCCCTCCAACAGGTACGTGAGACTCTGTGAAGTGGTTGACCATGTCTTTCCCTTGCTGAAAAGAAGGCATTCTTCAGACTTCCCCTGTTCTGATACCTACAGCCAGTTCACGTTCTGGAGGGAACCACTGCCGCCTTTTGAAAACCAGGATATTCAACCCGATGTGCCATAACTCCTTTCGAATAATCCAAGCAGCCGTTCAAAGGACCCGCTGGTCTGTGCTTCAGGGGGTGTAGCTGGACTTTGCTACCTCCAGTTCACCTGGAGTTTGGGGTGTCGTGAACATTGCTTAATTGTCAGTTCAGAAATTTCTTTCCATTCTTCTAAGGTAACATTTCTGAATGGTGCACTCCCAGCTCTTCTCTACGCTTGAGATATACCACATACCATATAGTCTTAAAGACATCTCCGAGTGCCAGGAGGCCAGGCTTGTCAAAAGCAAACCTGATACGGCCTTCCGCTTTTTCATGTCACTTCCGGTACCAGTGTAGAGTATCAGTCCGAGGCATCGGTGAGGCCTTCCAGCTCCTATTTTTCTCATAGAGAAGGGTGAATTAATTTAAGTCTCCCAGCCAAAATACCTATTTACATTTTTAAATCCCCAACAAAGTAGGATCACATCCATTGAATGCGACTGCAAAATAAATTGGTCTATAATCTTCAAATAGCTTAAATGTTTACATCATGACTGATGTGCTATGGTTGTGATGAGTGGCAGTCCTGCATTCTGGCTGAGGTAGCCCCCACTTCCGTGTGCCAATGCAGAACTGCCAAAGTGCATTTTAAACTGGAGGTAAACATTGCAATGTTTTGTTTTTTTTAATAGTGTTGAGTTCACTTATGCTAATACTTGTGTATAGGCTGTTGGCTCCTCTGGATCATGGCTATAATATGCAATGAGAGAAAAAAGGACTGGGTCTGTCTGTTACCATTGTTGTACAAGAAGGAATCTTGCTGAAATAATTGGATCCATACTGATAAATGACGATATTTGGAGGCAAGGATGCACACTGTTCCTGGTCATTGGTACTCCTGAGCAGAATTATGCCATTTAAATGTACATGTGATATACTCCATCATATGTACATGACAAGTACAATATATGTGGGTATCTGTTCCAAATTGCAAAGTAAATTCCTGCCTCTATTTGCTTGACAAACGAGGAAACTGAAATGCAGAATCAATGAATTTTATTTGCACTATCTGTAGCTACCTTACAAACTTTTTTTTTTTTTTTTTGCTTGTTGTGGATCCTCTTAGGATTTTTCTTCTTATGGGTTGTTCCAATGCTAATGTCACTTAAAGTAGACCCATTTTAATGAACGGGGCTTAAGATTAATCTTGGACACAATGCCTTGTCCTCTGCCTCCAAATGTAATACGTTTCTGGTATCATACCGTATAGTCAGACAGCACTGGGAATTTTCCTATTATGTTTTAATTCTATATTTCTCTTCTTTGCACAACTCTGTTAGGTTATGGTCCTCTTTTGTTGCTTTATAACATTTTACTGCCTTGAGAGTTAACTATGTGCATTACAAATGAATGTTCTAGATATTTTTTTCAGAGAAGCTGCTTTTACAAGTTGCTGGTGGTGCTCTTTGAAACACAGACTTCTTTTGACCTTATACCAAACAATCCTAAAAGATAATTTGGTGTTTTAAATTATGTCTTTTTAATCATATTTATTGGAGGGTTAAGTTTAGAATAGAGCTATAAAACTAAGGGCCAGTCTAGATGGGATGGTGACAGACCTGTGGCTTGCTGAAAATCCCTTTAAAGTGGCAGGAGGAGGGTTGGATGAGACTTAAAGCATAAAATGTGGGCATGGTGCTGTTGGTGAGACCTTCCTCTTGAGTGTGTTTCCTCTGAAATGTGTCCTGTGTCATGTCATGACTGAGTCCTTTTGAAATGAATGGAACTTAAAGGAGTTCAGTTAAAGCTACAAATCTATGCATAACTCACTTGGGATAATAACACAGAGTGGGGCATAAACTGAATAAGCATGCATAGGAATGGCTTACAAGTCCCATTTCGTTGCCTTTAATAGAACGGGATGTGATGAGATTTTGCTAGATGGTGTATGCTCATTCCCCTTTAAAGAGTGTGGTAGGGACCTCATCAGTTGCTGGATCTGGTGAAGGTGGTTTTCCAGTCATTTACTTCAATTCCCACTGAATCAAATGTTGGGAATAATTCAGGTGCATAAAGAAATAAAATCACTGATCTAATAAATCATGCATTTTTAGGATGGTGCATATTACCCGAATCACCATAAGGTTAAAATTTTGCTTTTTCTGGATTTTATTTGCTGCTTTGAACACAGTTTTTGAAACATAGGCCGTGGTAAAATTGTATAAACAAGCAAACAAACAAAAAGCTTGGGAATGACAAAGCCATGGAAAAACCAGCTGCAGGGTTAACATACCCGTTTTAAAGAGGATTTCATTTATCATAAATTGCCACAACTTGGTCTATACATTCTTCAGTGGTGTTACTGCCTCACCATTACATGTTCAACTGTGAAAATATATTTGCCACTTTATTTCAGTGTTTGTTTTCCCAATCACAGAATGTATTGGGTATAATTTAGATGAAGTTAAGCAATTCTGAATTCCATTTACTTTAATGGAAGTGTTTCTTAATTCTGTACCAAGTCAGTGAGATTCAATGGTACTTAACTGGGGCTGGCTTGTAGCCAAGAGAAATTCCTTTAAAAATTCCTTAGGAATCCACAGTCTTTTGGACAGTTACACATGTCCTAATGTTTAGGACTTTTGCCACCAGTGAAGATGTTCAGGACTGGCAGTACCATCTAGCTGATCTGGAAAATACTTGGGGGTGCCTTGGTTGTAGGAGAGAATACTAGCATTGGAATGCTAAATGAGTGAAGCTGTGTGGATGTGAAACAACTAGTAGAAGCCTTAGCAAATACAGCCGTTGTTATTAATGTCAGATACTGTGAATACATCTGGCTTCAAGTTACTCTTTTAAGTAAATTTGAATACCCCGCTGCCAGTGCTTTTTCAGAGATGCTGTTGCTGTCTGAATGTAGTTACATAGATGACCTGCAAATATACGTTACTCAATGACTATTTCTGACATTGGTTGATGGTTGTTCAGAAGACTAGTTTAAGCCATTTTAAAGCTTTGCTCTTACTAAAGGCTTAAAAATGATGTTCAGGTGCACAATTTCATTTCACTTCGGCTGCGCAGTCTTTATGCACACATTTTAAGCTGCATTGTTGAATTCCCAAAGAACTGGATAAATATGGAATTGCTGAAGGAATTATTACTCTTTCTGTGAAAGAAAAAACTAAATCTCTTGACTTTGCTTTCAGTGTACTGGTGGTTTTCTGTTACAGAAAAAGGTACCTTTTCTAATGCACTCTAAATGCAAAAATGTAAAGCCAAAATATGCTGTGTTTATACGTACTCCCATCTTCTAAACTAGAATATGCAAGAAGTAAATCCCTGCTATTTTCATACATTTGATGGCCATTTACCTCCACAAGTGCTAAATGGAGAAAAGTATCAATATGTTGAAAATCAAGTCATGTTGATGTAATTTTGAGGGCTGGGGTGGAAGATGAGTTTATTTTAAGACTGTTAATGAGTATGTTTCTGGAAACTACTTCCTCTGTATATGATGCACTAGTGCAATGAATTACGGAAAACAGGATAACATCGCATTTTGATGAGCCGAATGCAAAGACTATATATTGTAATAAATGCAGTCCAATAAAAGAATGTTCCAAAAATCCAGCTGTGGGGTTTAATTTAAAAAAAGTATGCCAAGTATATGTTAGCCTATATTAATGACCTGAGTCTGGTTGAATTTAGAAAGATAGATTGAAACAGTCACTAAACTGTCTTCTTGCAATCAAAGGAACGCTGAGGATGTTTATTCAGGGGCTGTCAGGATTGTATCTGGATGGTTTCTGAAAGATCTGCATGTATGCAGTCCCCCACCCGGTAATACTATTCCTCTGCTGGCTTTACTAATACACGAGCTAATCTGACAAGGTCAAAGAGGGCATGAAAAGAGAACTTGGGGCACTGATCATTGTTGCTCTGTTTTTGAGTGTAGGGTACTTGAAACTGCCTGTTTTTCTGTGGAGTGCTCTCCTGGGCCGATCCTCACCATACCGCATCCCTCCACTGATGCAAACTAGCAAAGCTGCTGCTTTCAGTTTTTCCATTCATTGGAACATTTCTGAATTTTAATGGGGTGCTTCAACCACACACTATGTGCACCTTTCTTTACCTATGCGGCTTTTAGCAGAATGATTGATTGATTAAATTACCTCAGCCAGCATCCTAACCATGACAACAACGGTGGAAAAAATATCCCTCTAATCCATTGGCAGCTCTTATCGCACATAATTGAGGAAGATGGAGGAGTTGGATTGCTATTTAGAGTGGTTCAGTTCAGGAGCTGTTCTGACTTTTCAGAGACCTGATTTCACAAGGTCCTAAAAGCCTCTGGCAATGTCAGGTGTTCTTCGTGCTGACAGGAGTCTATTTATTGATTCAGGAAATTCATCTTGCCCGGCTTTTAAGGAGGTCTGTAAGTGGCCCCTTCCGGTTACTCATTCATTGTTTCCAAACATGAGTCTGCTCTGGTGATCAGCTTGAAAGTGGTGGGAGGGGGGACTCAATCTCTGATGCTTCCTTGCCTTTGTCTTCAGAAGGAGACTGTTTTCTTTGGCAGGCAGAAATATGGAAACAATCTAGAAGGGTTGTTTCTACAGCCCGTTGTATAAACATCCCCCCCATCCCTGTCCCAAGACAGAAGAACTCTGCATTCTGGGATGATGCCCCCTTGGACTAGTTGTATAATGAAGCTATCATGCCCCCTACTCTCTCCTCTAAAGCTGCCTTAAGTCAAAATGCAGTCCAAAGCAAAAGCATAAACCAAAGGGAAAGGAACAAAGCCAAAGAACACTGATCCAGGGTCAATCCTCAGGAGTTTTGTTTATTTCCAAAGCAGAACAAGTGGTCAGAGGGACTGGGGTAGTGGTGGTAGTGGTGGTAGTTTGCTGAAAGGTTGATCTTGCCAAGGAAGAATGATGCTTGGATCTTGTTCCTAGCCTGAGTAGATTTTGCTTATCGGGAAAATAAGAGTAACAGAGCCGATCAGTCAGAAGCAATGGAATAGTTTGGTTTATTTCAGTGTTTGAGTTCAAGGCTGACCTCATCATAAGCCAAGGTTGCGTATTGCCGCATAGGTTCCAATGTGAAGGGAGATTTGAATCAGGCCCACTCTGTACATGCTTGGCCGGGGTATTTGCTAAGTGGTATACTTGCCGGTTGATCCAGTATGTGACTTGGCTCCAAAAACTTGCAGGAATCTGAAGCACACCATTTTAAAATGCGTACTAGTCTTTCACTTGCACCTGGGTCAGCTTAAAGTGCTTCAAGGGCTCCTTAAATCTTACAGGGCTGCCATATTTGGTTCCCAAGGCTAAATCGGAAGGTAAGGGGGGGGGGGCTCTGCATCTCCATCCAAAGTGAGAGGCAGTTACTCTGCAAGACAAAAGAGAGACCCATCAATCACATGAGCCCCAGTCGAAGCCATCTGGCTTGTCGGCAGCAACACCAGGTGTTCGCGGCAAAGCCACACTTCCTGTATTGCAACACTGGCTCGGAAGGATAAGTATGTGGCCCGGCAGCTTGCTGATACTGTACTGGAGCAAGGCAGAGAGATGCAGAGCCTTGCTGTTACAAGCATGTCAAAATACCAAGGTGACAAGAGAGGCATGAGAGCTTTCTATTCAGGGCCTATGGCTATGAAGGGGGGTAAGCTATTTCCCCTTTCAAGCACAGTGCTTCTGGAGGCAATAAAGGGAAAGCTGAATGCTGGCTGAAAAGAGTGGATGCTAGGGAAATGCAAAAGGATCCAGTCCCCCTTCCTCCATGGTTGCCTAGTCCATCCATATGGCCTGGATATAAGCAATAAGGCACGTACGCGCGCGCGCGCGCGCGCGTGTGTGTGTGTGTGTGTGTGAGAGAGAGAGAGAGAGAGAGAGAGTGTCAATCGCATATGCGGAATGAGGTGCATCTAGGACCAAAATCTGCCGCCTCCTCCAGGCAATACCTGCAGTTGGCAGGGGATGAAAACAACAGAAACAAACTCTGTTTTATTTCAGGTGAATTTTTTAATTGGGTTTTTTTTAATTGGGGTTGGCAAACTGTTCTAACATTTCAAGAAAGATAGTTGTAGAACAGTTTTGGATAAGGACCAGGAGAGGAGAGTATCTTTCACATCTGGAGTAACACATGTGGCCTTCTAAAGGCCTCCTAAGGCTTAAGGTATAAAAATCACCTAGTTGCACCTGCCACACCTGGTTTGGAAGAAGGGAAAGGAGGTTTTGCCTAATGCCAAATGGGCACAAGGCTGTGGCTTTCTAACAGATTTAAAACATTTAAGAAAAGTGCAGCTCCCTGTTAAATGTTCGTGTTCAATGGAACTTATTCTCAGGTAAGTGTGCACAGGGTTGCTGCCAACTCTTACGCTTGTTTACTCAGAAACAAGTCCCACTGAACTCAGTCAGATTTTCTCTACTAGATCTGTTCAAGACAGCAGTCTAGGTTTGGGGTTTGTTGTTGTTTCTAAATGCAGAATATTTATATGTGAACTCACTTGGCTTTTATCAGCCTGAATTTATCTTGTAGCTGCAAATACATATGAAGGCAAATTTTGAGGAATCAGGAAAAGACACAAAAAATCAGATCTCCTGTTCAGGGTAATAACCACCACTCAGCTTGCAGAATTAGATCTTGCCCTTCCAAACACAGATTACCATGCATAAAATGAATAGAATAGAAGCAGAGCTGGAAGGGGAGTATCAAGCCATGGAGCCAACCCCTGCTCCACTTCCACATGTGGTCATGCATCCGACTGCAGGCCCATGCCTTTCCAGCTTAGCAAAACATAACTTGATATGCTAGCTTGATATATAACTGTGCTGGCAAGCATGAATGAATGAATGCATAAATAGCTAGCCATCGCTCCCATGAAAGGCAATTGCAGATGCCTCATCCACTCGCGCTGCACTGGTCCCATGCTGCAGAGGCCATCCCTGTAAAGTTGGCTCTACCAAGCAGGTAATGCAGCTTTGCTCACACTTTGCAAAGGGGCAACCCAGAAGGTCACCTCACTGTTTACCAAGCCGGCTCTTACTGGTGTTGCTCATATGATGTGAGGTTTGAAGCTCTCCAGAAGCAGCTTCCACACCCCAGTGGAAGTAGATTAAGAAATATTGCCTTGGCACCAGAATCACCTGAAAGCATCACTTAGCTCTTTGCATCAGTGTAACTTGGGGGCTTTATAAGAGCAATAACAGGGCTATTGTTTATGTATTTGCCACCTGCTGTTTGTACGTTTGACCACTAGGTGCCACTGTGTAACTCATTCTGGAACAAGCCTCTTTGGTATTCTTTGTTCCCTTTGCTTTCCAAGGGGCCCACACATACAATGCATCTTGTCCTTTCCTTTAAAACCCAGCATAACTTAGCTTTATGCTGTCTTCCTGGTTTCAGTATCCATTTTCTTTGTCCAGAACTCTGCCACCCTTATCCTCCCCCAAATGTCTTGAAAGGTTTAATGACAAGTCCACCTGGTCAGGAAATTTTGTTTGTGGAAACAGCCTGTGGACATGTTTGATGAGCAGACCACAAAGTCCAGGTAGGTTCTATCTAAGCCAAATTCCAAATGTGCCATCACATTTTATCCACAATAAGATGGTGTCTGTAAGGAGAATAGTAAGCAAATCTGTTCTGAACTTACTGGTGTTAGGAATTAAGCTCTGGAATTGAGTGAGTGAGAGGAGAAATGGGCACATCAAAATGGTCCGGGGCAAGCCATGGTATCTGGCAAGAGCTTTGAGGATGATCTGGTGAAAGCACAACATCATGTGGCACTGCCCCCAAGCAGAGTTGTTCTGGGTGATTTGGGGTCTTTTAACATCTACCCCAGCACAGGAACGGTTGGAGCCCATGGGCACCTGCTATGAAACATTTGCAATGCACTGTGGGGAGAAAATGCACCTGCTTGCACACTGCCTCAGACACTACAGCTGAGGAGCTGTCTTGTGCTCTGCCTGGCCCAGTTCTGTGGGATCCATTTCAGCTTTTGCAGCATGATTAAGCAGACAAGTTGGCTGAGTTGGGGGATGCAATGACTTGACTCTTGCTCTTCATGGTTAATTTGAATGGACTGGAGGGGACTGACTGGGTGGGCCCCATGTGTGGTTCATGTGTCACAGCAGAGGACCTTGAAATAAATTCACCTCTCAAGAAACCCACACTGGACCTGGGTTATCTAGATCCTGTGGGGATACTTTGGCCACCTAATGAAAAGGAACGACTCATTGGAGCAGACCTGATGCTGGGAACGATTGGCAGCAAAAGAAGAAGGGGACAGCAGAGGATGAGGTGGCTGGATGGAGTCACTGAAGCAGTCGGGGTGAGCTTGGGTGGACTCTGAGGGACGATGGAGGACAGGAGAGCCTGGAGGAATGCTGTCCATGGGGTCATGATGGGTTGGGCATGACTTTGTGACTAACAACAACAACTTGGTGGCTTTGATACTGTGGACTTCTGGACTGGCTTTGTGACTTGGGGGCATGGTGTTACAGTGGTTCCACACCTATCTATAGGACGGTGTCCAGAGGACATTATTGGGTGACAAAAACTCAGGCCCCAGGTAGTTAAACTATGGCATCCTTCAGGGTTCCACCCTATCCCTGATCCTATG